GCAAGGTAAAAAAAAAAGAAAGGAAGATCATTGATTTTCTTTTTTTCTTTTTTTTGTGGTGGTGGTGGTGCGCGCACTGCACATTAGTGCTTAGCATCCAAATCATAAGTTTTTGCTCGAATTTCAGTACTAAAAAGGAACATATACTGAAATTTTGACTAAACAGTTTCAGATATGAAAGATTCATTTTTGCGAAATACCCAAATAAAGTCCTCATCCCGAATTCATCTTCTCCCTCAAATTCACTAACATAATTAAAAGAAATAGAAAACGTTTAGTAGAACTTTGGGAAATACGCACATAGAACTCATTATCAGAGTAATTATTATTTTCCCAAGTTTCATCTTATTAAAGGGGCAAATTGAAGACGAGATTGAGCATCCAGATAAAGGCCCATACGCAATTCAGCATCAAAATCAAAATTTTACGGAAATTATAGAAATTTAAAGGAAAATTCCCGTACTGATGAAGGTGGAAAGCGTGCTTTCGCATCTTGAGGCCCTTGGGATCCTGAAACAAGTGGGAAAAAATCAAAAGAGGATTGAATGAAGCCGAGCGATCAAAAGTGGAGATAACAATCATCGATTGAACTTACAGGGCCTTGAATCCGGACCATGACCGAGAAATTACGAGCAGATTGGGCGATTTCTGTTACCTCCATCTCCTCCTTCTCGTTGTGTCCCTCGAGCTTCGGGATAAAAAGAGGCAGAGCAGATGTCAGCAGGCTTCGTGCCTTTTTTTTTCTTTCCTTTTCAACCAAAATTGATGATTTGGACGGTGTTTTTGCGAATACGGACATTTGGGATAGTTTTACAAATACCAGTTTAAATAATGAGTTTTGCTACAGGAACCAAAATATGGTCTATATGGGACCAACATGGAGGACATGTGAGGTGTCACATTTCTATTGTATAGTGAGTTGGTCATCATTAATGATGACCAACTCACTATGCAATAGGAGGGGGACACCTCACATGTCCCACATGTTAGTCTTAATGATGACCAACTCACTATGCAACAGGAGGGGGACACCTTATATATCCCCCATGTTGGTCCCATATTTTGGGTCATGGGAGAATTTTTCTTACATAATTTATAGGCTAAATTGTCAAATTAGCTCTTTTTGGAACCCCTTTAGTCAGTTTGGTGTTAAAAGTTTCTTTGCTGACTTTTTACCTTCTTGGTATTAAAAGTACACCATTTATACAATTAAGCTATTTTTTACTGCAGGAAAATTGTGTATGACCTCACGTGGCTTAATTCTGAGTTTATTTAAAAATGTCATTTGGTTTTGTTTAAATGATGTGGCTGGATTTAGATGATGTGACACAGATAAATTTGTTGATTTCTTGACTTCTCATGTGATTTCGAAGATGTAAATGACTAGGAGGATTACCATTAAATTTTAATAATTGAATAAAAATATAGGTTTTCTTCCTCCAAATTTTCACCAATAGTAAAGAAAATTGTCTAATTGCAAAAGGAGTGGATTTTTAATACCAACCTGGTTAAGAGGGATTAAATAAAAAGTAACAATTTAGTAATTTAGCCTAGTTATATATACAAATAACCCTTTTTTTTGTAAATTAGGAAAGACGTGCTAAAGTATTGTTTGAAAAGCGCGCTATAATTCTAAAAGTTTAATGTAGTGATAATAACTTTAAAAATAAAGAAACATTAGTATATAAAATTATGTACTCAACCTACGATTAAGGTTAGTTTCTTTTAAAATTATAATGCTGAATATGACTAGGGTCATTAAATAATAACTAAAAGACCAAAATTATGTACTAATTAGGCATACTTTGATCCTTATTTACGAGCACGCCATCGGACGGTTGGATTTAGCGCGCTAATTTATTCACGAACTCGAGCCGCTGCACGCGTACTGAAGCAGCTCCCCTTTTCTGTTTCCTTATTTAATTTAGAACTTTCGACCCTTCCCTATTTGAGTTAAACTTTTAGTCCTAACCCTGGTCGGAATCGAAAGGCGAGATCCCATAAATACATGTTTTAGTTGTAACTTTGCGTTCACAAGAAATACTTCGTCTGTGAGCGTCATCAAATTCGTGCATTAAGGTACTATTTTTATCTATTTCTATGATTTCTTCTGCTTTTCTGTGGCGGGTTTTCAATAAAAGATTCATATTTTCTTTCTCTTTTTTTTTTCCAGATACTACAATATAAGCAAAATTTCATGGCGTCTGGACTTAGCTTGTCTGCTCTTCAAAAAGCTCATGTTCGATACTTCGATCTCTCAACAATGTCAGATTCCGAGAAGATCACATTAAAGAAAAGATTAGAGGCAGAGCTTGCTCTGGTGAGAAACGCAATCGTGAAGGTTAAAGGAGTGCATCAAGATTCGGCGAGTAAGAAGAGGAAATCGCGCGAAACAAGAAAACAGCAGAAGGATGTTCTGGTCAAGAAATCCAAAGTTTCTACTTCTGAAGGTGGCAATAGAAGTGGAGTATTGGAGATTCAGAAGGACAAGGGTCAAAAGATGAGCATATCTCGGATAACAGAGTGTGGAGAAGTTTTGATGACCCTCATGAACCATGATTTTGGTTGGGTGTTCAATGAACCGGGTGCTGTACAGATGAGCATTCCCGATTATTTGGTCAACATCAAGAAGCCGATGGATTTGAGCACAATCAAATGTCGACTAGAAACGAAGTTTTATTCGAGCGTCCTCCAGTTTGCCTCAGATGTCAGGTTAACCTTCTCCAATGCAATGACATACAACGTTGCTTGCAACCCCGTGCATCTCATGGCGAAAGAGCTGAATGCCATCTTCGACGAAATGTGGAAATCCTTGGAGTTGAAATGGAGGAAGGAAGCTTCAGTCGCTGACAATCCGCCAAAAGGTATTCCCCTGAATATGCCCTTCTAAGTTTTCGGAATTCGCATATGGTTACTTTTCTGATTAGTTTTCTGGTTGCGTACTAACTTTCAGAGGCCTTTTTTTTTGTCTGCTGAATTTAAGGTTTTGTAAAAGTCTACTCTTTTTTGCAGAACAAGTTTCCCCGAGCAGAGATCTCCGTGATGCGATATTGAAGGCAAAGGCAAAGAAGAAACTACTTGAGCATGAAAGGAAGAATCAGCAGCCACTAAAAGGTTACTGTTACATCTTTATCTGCGATCACTTGAGTAGTTGCATAATCATTTATATGCTTCTTCAAAAACAATCTCCGGTTAGCATAGTAGAAGACATTTTAATTGACTTGACCCTGTTTTATGTTTTGTGCTATATATATATCAGTAGGAAAAGCCATGTGGAACTACAAAATTTATATAAACGTAATCATAAACACTGTTTATATCACTCTTTCTCACCTTTTGTTCATGAGTTGCTAAAGGCGTATGCACTGAGCTCATGATAATTGTTAATTAAGCTAGTTAATAATTCACCTCCAATTAATCTGGTAGAACTTTGTGTTAGGATTTGTCATTGTTTAAGTTTTAATTAGCCTTGTCAAATTCTGGACCTGTTTTGACTTGATTTTTCTGCACATCTTCAAAATATAAATTAGGGGTAAACCAGGTCGCATTCTCAATGGTTATCTGGCTCATTCTCTCTAATATATTTTCATCATTTTTTCATTGATTTCGATCAGAAACGGCAAAGAACGGATCTCAAACCAGAGCTACTGAAGCTACTACAGTGAAGGCCATTGTCAAAATGCAGCGAGAGCAGGAGCGGAGGGCAGCACGGTTGGCAATTGAAAAGGTCAGTTTGCAAATTTCTCTCTCGGTTCTCTGCGTTATTCGCTCCCTTTCTTTCTTCCTTCAGGTTTTGGTCTAACATAGCATCTTTGCTTCTCCAACTTTTTTCAGATGGAAAAGAGTGTTGAGCTTTATGAAAATTTAGAGATTTTCAGATGTCACTTGGGATACTCTCAGCCTGTGCATCTTGATCTAGCCGATGGAGTAGCAGAAAACTTTATGATTGATGTTGAACAGCAGTCTACTCCTGAGAAACCACTAGCAGAACTGGGGTTGTTCTTGAAGAAAGATGACATGGATGAAGAGGTTGACGATGCTCTTCAGCCAAAGCCGATGGTTTGGAAGAGGGAGAAATCCATATCCCAAAGTCAAAGATTATTTTTTCTTTAGTCTGAAATTTTCAGAGCTGTTTAAATTGTCAATAATTTACGAGCGCGGGTGTTTATTTTGTTGTTCAGAAAGGTTAGTGTGTACATCTCTCCCCCAAGATTTTGTGTGTAAAGTTATCAAAAAAGTATGGGAAAATTGTGTCGAGGCCCCAAAAGCAGAAACTTCATGTGACGAGGCCCCTTGTATTTTGCCCCATGTGGATAAGCCCCCCAAAGTACAGTTTAATATTTCAAGGCTCCTCCACGTCAGCGGTATACAAAATAGCGATTGTATTTTGAAAAAAACCCGAAATTGCCCTTCTCCTTCTTCCCCAGACGCTTAGATAGTCTAGTCCAATTAAATGTGAACTAATGTAAGAAATAGAGGGAAATTTCCCCCCTTTTTCCCTCTATCGTTTGCAATAACTATGTTAGTTCTCCATTACTCTCCTCAATCCCTCAAACTCAGCGCTCTCATCTCCTCTCTCCTCTCTCTCATCTCCTCTCTCATCGTCATCGCCGCCTCCCCCTCCTCTACTCCGCCCGACCTTGTCCCAGACTCGTCCTCCCCCTGCGACATCCAACGCGTCGCCGTCCTCACCGCGGAGGCCTTCCACCCTAGCAATGTGGACACGGCTGATGCTGGGGCAGTCGATGTCGATGTCGCCGACGCCGAACTCGTCTTGTGTGGGTTTTTAAATTTTTTTATCAATTCAATCTAAAAAAATCTCTCAATTGCTCTTTTACTTTGTGTCCTTGTTTATTTAAGCTGTGTCTTGTAATTTTCTATTTAAAAGTCTCATGTTGAGCATGTTGGATTTAATCTAATAAATCTATTTGTGGACACATATGATTAATCAATGTGTATTGTTATCTTTCAGGATAACCCACTAAAGTGATCAATTAAGTTGGGTTAATTTGGTATTTAAATGATCATGGGGTCATATGTGCAGATACCAGGTTGTAATTGTAATTTATTGAGGGGCTAAATTACAAAAGTACAACATCTATAAATAAGGGGTTATGGTCCCTAACCTAGGGTTACATTCTCTAATTCTCTACACCCCCATCTAGATAGAGAAATTCGGATTTGGAGAAACCCTAAGGTTAGAAGATCATCAAAAACCCAAATCAAGTTTTCATCCATGGATTCAGGTATAAGCTTCCGCTCTTTTAGATCCTTGTTAATCTCTTTGAATTAATCATGGCTATATGGTTTTAGATCTCAAGTTTTATGATGTAGATCTAACAAGTGGTATCAGAGCCACCTTGATTAATTCTTAGGGATTTAAGTTTTATTGGGTTTTTGATCTTAAATCTCTAGTTAAAGATTCAATTTTTTGGGTTCGGATGAACAGTAATGTTCGGTGAACAGTAACGAAATTTTTTTTTTTGTTCGGATGATCAGTAAAATATTTTTCGGATGAACAGTAACTAAAAAATCGCCGGTGAACAGTAACTTTTTGGAATTTTTTGGCTTTTTCTTTGATTTTTTCTTCAAATTTTTCCGATTCTGGCTTTGATTTTTTCTTCAATTTTTTCCAATTCTGGATCTGTTTTGAAAATAAAAATCAAAGGTTTTTTGGGTTTGTCGGCGGCGGTTTCAATTTGAAACCCTAAGGGTTCATGGCGAAAATTAAGGAGGTGGTTACCTCAAACGAACCTCGCGTTCGTTCAATTTTAACCGAGCTTCGCGCTCAACGAACCTCGCGTTCGTTCTAAGGTGAACCTCGCGTTCAACTCAGGTGAGCGTCAAGCTCAATTTTAACGAACCTCGCGTTCGTTCTAAGGTGAACCTCGCGTTCAACTCAGGTGAGCGTCAAGCTCAATTTCAATGAACCTCGCGTTCGTTCCCAAGGTGAACCTCGTGTTCAACTCAGGTGAGCGTCAAGCTCAATTTTTTAACGAACCTCGCGTTCGTTCTTCAGACGAACCTCGCGTTCGTACTTCAGACGAACCTCGCGTTCGTACTTCAGTCGAGCCTCGCGTTCGTACTTCAGACGAACCTCGCGTTCGTGCTTCAGTCGAGCCTCGCGTTCGAACTTCAGACGAACCTCGCGTTCGTACTTCAGTTGAACCTTGCGTTCATTTTTTTTAACGAACCTCGCGTTCGTTCCCAAGTTGAACCTCGCGTTCTTTTATCAAACGAACCTCGCGTTCGTTCATTTTCAGACGAACCTCGCGTTCGTGCTTAAGTGAGTCTCGTACTCAATACAGTCGAACCTCGCGTTCGAAGTTAAGGGAACTTCGTGTTCATTATGGTTAAGCCTCGGCTTTTCATGGGTCCACTTTGGTATACTTAATTTATTCAATTAAGTTATGGGCCCTAATTAAGCTGTGAGACCCCAATTAAGTTTTTGGAAATTCAGTTGATTTAAATTTTTAATTTAAATCTAATTCGGTTTTTAATCAATTATTTAATTCAAATATTATGACACTAAGGTATTAAGGTTGTCTCTCACTCCAATTGATTAATTGAAGCAAGAAGTTGCCAAAGTAACCTCTCTTGTGTAGATTGTTCATGAGGAATGTGAGATGTTTGTGTGTATGCTTTCGTGTAAATATTTAATCGGCCCAAAGGAAGGTTAATATTTATTTAGACTGTATACACATCTGCGATGATAAGCGTGTGACAATTATAAGGTTTACATGTGAATAATGAATCGATCCAAAGATAGTTTCATTATTTGACATGAGTTATTGTCAATGTTTGATCATTGCAACAAGGTATCACTTACAAGTTAATATTACTGTCCAAAGACTTGATATTAATGTTGTGCCGGTATCTTGGATGGGGATTGTCATTATTTGAATTTTATTGATTATGGTTATTGATGTGAGCATTTTTGTTTTATTTCAGCTAATGCATCTGCTGCAACAATTTCTGCTAACATCAACTCAATTCCCATGCTAAATGGGACAAACTTCAAGGTTTGGAAAGAGAACATATTAATTGTTCTTGGCTGCATGGATCTTGACTATGCATTAAGAACTGAACAACCCCAACCTCTCAATGCGGATAGCACTCCTGATGCAAAGAAGGAGCATGAGAAGTGGGAGCGTTCAAATCGCATGAGTCTTATGATCATTAAGCGCGGCGTTCCGGAAGCCTTCAGGGGCATAGAATCCGAAGGGATTACTAAGGCTAAAGATTTCCTTGCCGAAATTGAGAAGCGTTTTGCGAAAAACGATAAGGTAGAAACAAGCACGCTTTTAGCTCGCTTGATTTCAATGAAGTATAAGGGCAAAGGAAATATCAGGGAGTACATTATGGAAATGTCTCATATTGCTTCAAAGCTTAAGGCACTTAAACTCGATCTTTGTGACGAGTTATTAGTGCATCTGGTTTTGTTGTCTCTTCCTGCACAGTTTAACCAATTTAAGGTCAGTTATAACTGTCAAAAGGAGAAATGGACTCTAAATGAGCTCATTTCATACTGTGTGCAAGAAGAAGACAGGTTGAAGCAAGATAAGACAGAAAGTGCTCATTTGGCCTATGCCTCTAAGGATAAGGGCAAGAAAAGGAAGAATGATAAGGAAGCTGCTAAGGGTCCAGTTGAGAAGAAACAACATAAGGATAATCAGGGTTGTTTCTTCTGTAAGAAGCCTGGACATGTAAAGAAGGACTGTACAAAATATCACGCCTGGCGTGATAATAAGGGTACGTTCCTTGCTTTGGTCTGTTCTGAGGTTAATTTAGCTTCAGTACCTAGAAACACTTGGTGGTTAGACTCTGGTGCTACTACTCACATAAGTGTTTCTATGCAGGGTTGCCTGAGCTACCGAAAGCCAAGTGATGTTGAAAGACACATCTTTGTGGGCGACGGACAATCGGTAGATGTGGAAGCAATTGGGCACTTTAGGTTGTTGTTAGGAACTGGTTATTATTTGGATTTAAAAGATACTTTTGTAGTACCGTCTTTTAGACGGAATTTGGTTTCTGTTTCTGTATTGGACAAATCAGGTTATTCTTGTTCATTTGGAAACAGTCAATTCAGTTTATCTTTTAATTCAAATGTTGTGGGAACCGGTTACTTGAGTATTTATGACAACCTATATTTGCTTGATACAATTGCTTCTTACAATGAATCCTTGCATGTGGAATCACGTGGTACTAAGCGTAAATTAAATAAGGAAAATTCGGCGACATTATGGCATAAGCGCTTAGGTCATATCTCAAAAGGTAGAGTTGAGCGTCTTGTGTCTGATGGCATTTTGGATTCCCTTGATTTTTCGGACTTCGACGTATGTGTTGAATGTATCAAGGGAAAACAGACCAAAGTGAAGAGATTAGGTGCCAACAGATCTTCGGATGTCTTAGAATTGATACATACGGATATTTGTGGGCCATTCCCTACGGAATCCTGGAATGGTCAACAATATTTTATATCATTCATAGACGATTACTCACGTTATGGGCACCTATATCTTATTCATGAAAAATCTGAGTCTCTGGACATGTTCAAAGCCTATAAAGCTGAAGTTGAGAATCAACTCAACAGAAGAATTAAAACCGTCAGATCTGATCGTGGTGGTGAGTACTACGGTAGATATGATGGTTCAGGTGAACAACGTCCAGGACCATTTGCTAGATACCTAGAGGAATGCGGTATCGTCCCACAGTACACTATGCCGGGTTCACCTAGCATGAATGGTGTAGCTGAAAGACGAAACAGGACTCTTAAGGATATGGTAAGAAGTATGATTGCTCATTCTTCTTTACCAGAGTCACTCTGGGGAGAAGCACTTAAGACAGCAGCTTACATTCTGAATAGAGTACCAAGTAAAGCAGTTGCTAAAACACCTTATGAGCTTTGGACTGGTCGAAAGCCCAGTTTAAAGCATTTACATATTTGGGGATGTCCAGCTGAGGCAAGGCCTTATAGGCCAAATGAAAAGAAATTGGACTCCAAAACAGTTAGCAGCTACTTTATTGGGTACCCTGATCGCTCTAGGGGCTATAAGTTTTATGATCCCACTATAAGGAATATTTTTGAGACGGGAACAGCAACATTCTTTGAGGATGTTGAGTTTGGGGGGAGAAATAAGGTTAGAGACATTAGTTTTGAGGAGGAATTGGCTTC